TCAGTATATTTCAATCCTGTTTTATAACATGGTTGAGATTGGTGCATTGGCATAACTTTGAAATTTTCACCTGAGACAAGCTCTGGTGTTTTCAAAAGAACGACTGGTGGGAGTTGTGGTTTCTTTTCTTGAGTAGCTGCCATAATAATTTGTAGTTCAGTTCATCTATGCATAAATAGGGGTTTCTGTTAGTCAGATTATTGATTACTACTTTCCTTGAATTTTTCTTTTTTGTGTCGTTCAAAAAGAACGTGGTTATTTTTCCTTTAAATTACATCTAAATTCTCTAAATTATGCCTTAACGTGGACCTATTTGGTGATTCGTCATCTAAAAGGAGATTTGATTTTTGTTATTAATCACATAAGAAAATTTCATATGAAGAACTAAACAAGTAATGACTGAGGGTCAATTGGAAATTCCATCATTAGGTATTGACGATGCTTGTGTTAATAAAGCATTTGAGGATGCAGAAGGTGATGTTTTTGAATTTGCAAATTTATTAGCCAAACAAGTTGGTCCTTTAGATGATGAAGATGAAATATTGCCAGAACAGATTGTTAGTGATGACGATGACTCTAATACTAAAAATTGGTAACAAACAATGAAAAGATAACAAAAACTAAGTGTCTGATGAATGAATAAGTTTTTTGCTTTTATTTCCTTTTTTAACACTCTTATTAACATCAAATTTTGTTTTTATAAAATAAAAAATCTGCCAATAGAACTTGAAAAGAGATTTAAAAGGAAATGAGAATTGTTCTTCTCATTTTGATTGGGATTTTATTACAATTTGTGACTACAAGTTATTCACCAATACTCTTGTCAGGAGATAAAATGCAAACTGTTATTTTATCTCCACCATTTCAACAATTGGTTGAATCTCCTTGCCATGAAGGAAAACATAAAGGTGTTATTCATGTTTTTAAAAATACCTCAGCAAGAAGAGTTAAGTTGAAGTTGGACTTTTATAATAATCCACCAAATAAACTGGAAGTATATTTATATACCCAAAATAAGTGTATCATCAGAACAATATCAAAATCTCATTTAGCAGAACTTCGTCACGTGGTTCAACCTCATCAAACAATTAGTGTAACAATTATTTCAAGAAATGAAGAAAAAGGATTGGACAATGACTCACGGATTGTTATGCGTGTTCGTTCAAATCAAGTAATTGTGAAAATGCCACAAAATAGAGGTATAACTTGTCCTGATTCTACACCATTATTAGGAGAAAGATATTATCAAGGGAATGGACAAAAATGGTATAGACTGAAAGTAAACAAAGGAGAAGAGAGAATTATCACTACATGTAGTTCATATACAAGAATGCCAGTTAAAATAGAATTATTTGATAATTGTGGAGGCAAACCAATTAAGTATGAGACTATGAAATGTAATAATGAAAATGGTAGAGTAATTCGGTTTAAAGGAAAATATGATGGGAATGTATTTGTCCATGTAACGGCACTGCCAGGAATGAGAAAGAATAAAAAAATTAAAAGTCAAGTAATTAGAAGAGGAAATGGTGGAAAATACATTAGACGATTTTATCAAATGCTTGACAGATATTCTATAGAAAGTTTTAGTGATAAAAATCAAATGTATAATAATGAATGTAATAAGGCAAGGGTGTCAAATAATATGTTTTTATCAGATAAAATTAATTTCATTAGAACTAAAAAGACATTAAATAAGAGTAGTAAGAGATACAAACGATCCGTATGGTATAAAGTATTTGTACCAAGAAGAGGGACTATTAGTGTTAATACTTGTAGCTGGCAAAGTACAGGATCAGCTCATATTGAAGTATTAAAAGACTGCAAAGGGGAAAGTATTTCAGTTGAAAGAGCAAAATGTCAAAATGGACGAAATGAGAGAATAACAATAAGAGGAAAGAATCAATCAAGGTGGGTTTATTTAAGAGTTGAAGAGAATGATGAGAATGATGGAGGAAATGTGATGGTACAAATAAATAGAATTGGGGCTAACAGACAATTTAGGAGAAGGTTCTTCATTCTAAGACCATTCTTCCGTCGAAGGCGGTTTACACTATCTCCAATTTTATGGAAGCGAAGAAACCAAAAGAGACAAATAAAGAAAAACAAAAATAACAAAAAAATAAAGAAGGAAGATATTAAGAAAGAATTAGACAAGAAGAAGAAACAACTAGTTAAAGACTTCGAAAAATCAATTCAGAAGAAAAACCAAGAAATAAGAAATGTTACAACATCTGAAAAGAAAGAATTAATTAAAAGTAGTGAACATCTCAATAAAACACAAACTAAAGAACATCCAACAAAAGAAATACCTAAAGAAAATAATGAAATACATTCAAATAATCATAGTATAATAATGATATTACTTGGAGTTGTTTTAGTAGTATTACTTGGAATTAGTAGTATTATAATAGTAAAATTAATGAAGAAGAAATCAAATTATCAAAGCATTCCTTTATAATATCAACCGTATATTTCCTGTTCTTTGAAAAGATAAATTAAATAAAGAACAAACTCAATTATTCCATTTTTTCTGGTTATTATTATTATTTTTTCAATTTTTAAAAAAAGATGAAGGTAACTTATTAAATGTATTTTAAAATATTGTTATTTAACTCAAGACTATGAAGGCTAGTCAATGTACTTCATCAACTCATTCATAATATTATGAACAAATTCCAATGTATTAAACAATATTGTCATAAGGAATTAATTTCATACTTTTATTAGTTCAATCTTTAAATAAAAATACATTTTAAAAGTTAGAAATTGTTATGATAATACCTTCTTTCTTAAAACTCTAAAGATGATTATTCAATTTTTCACTACTCATTATATATTGTCATTAATTCATTATTCTCACTTACTCTTATAACAACAGTTTTATATTATTTCAAATATATATCCATAAGGTTTGTTTCTTCTCAGAATAATTAAAAATAAAGATATTAAAAAGTCATTGAGTAGAAATAACACTTCTGAATATTTTTAATACTTTTAATTAATTCACATTAATCAAACATATGAGGTTTTATTGGTGTACTAACTGATCTAGCATTATCCCATTCATTGTCTCTTCTTCTTTCATATCTTCTATCTCTTCCTCCAAACCTTCCAGCTCCTCTTCTATTATACCCACCTTTTCTACCTCTTTTTGAGCCAAATGGTTTTCTATACTCTTGTGCTTTTTCTTCTAACCAGTCTGGTATTGTTTGTTTTGCTTCTTCTAATAATGAGACTAATGGTGGTATTAAATTTTGGGTTTTTTCATTAATGAAAGTGATTGCAGTTCCTTTTTTACCAGCCCGTCCAGTTCTTCCAACACGATGGACATAACTCTCAATTTCATTTGGCATATCATAGTTAATGACAACCTCAATGTCTGGAATGTCTAATCCTCTAGAAGCAACATCAGTTGCAACAAGTAGTTGAATAACATTTTCTTTAAATCTTTTCAATGAAAAATCACGATCGGCTTGAGAACGATCTCCATGAATGCTGTCTACTTTATATCCATGATCATATAAGTAATTTTCTAGTATATCAGCACCTCGCTTTGTTTCAACAAAAATAACTGTTTTCTGACCTTTTCCTGCAAATTCTCCTAAAACATCTAAAATTGCTTCTTGTTTTATTTCTTCTTCAACCCATAAAATAATTTGTTGAATTGACTCAACAGTACTTCCTGCTCTTCCAACAGTAATAAAGACATAGTCATCTAAGAAATCTGCAGCAAGTCTTTGAATTTGTTTTGGAAAAGTAGCCGAAAACATTAATGTTTGACGTTTTCCAACAGGTGGCATTTCATTATCTTCACAAATTTCTCTAATTTGTGGTTCAAATCCCATATCAAGCATTCTATCAGCTTCATCAAAAATAAGATATCTAACAGAAGATAATGACACAATTTTCTTCTCAGTAAAATATAATAATCTTCCTGGAGTAGCAACAAGAATGTCACATCCTTTTCCCATTTCTTGAATTTGAGTATATGAATCAGACCCTCCATAAACACATACTGATCTAATTGGGGTATCTTCTGTGAATCTAACTGCTTCTTCATAAATTTGTTGTCCTAATTCTCTTGTTGGTGCAAGAATTAATGCAACAGGAAACACAGTAACTCTATGTGAAAAATTTGATTGTCTTGGCATTGGTGGATTTTTAAGAATATCTGAAATAATTGGAAAAAGGAATGCTGCTGTTTTACCAGATCCAGTTTGTGCACAAGACATTAAATCACGTTTATCTAAAACTATTGGAATAGTTGCTTTTTGGACTGGCATTGGATGATAAAACCCAGCTTTAAAAATGTTATGATCTAATTCTTCACCTAAATCAATATCATAAAATGTTTCTATTGTATCTTTTGGAAGATCTTTTCCTGTAACTTCTATTTCAAGATTTTCATATGAGACAGTTACATCAATCAATTTTTCTCGTTCTTCTTTTGTTTCTTCTAACCATTGATTTCTTTTTTCTAATCTTTTTGGATCTTCTCTAGAATCCCTATAACCATACCATCTATCTTTATTTGTACTTCTATTATTTCTACGTGTAAATGTAGGTGTATCACTTCTATAAATTGTTGATGAACTACGAGATGGTTGAGGAGTTCTTGATGTTATTGGGATATGGTCTGATTTATATGCTCCTTTTTTACTAAAGCATGGACTAATTGGAGTAGGTTCTCCTTTCATTATTGTTGTTTTCTCTTTGTTTCTTAAATGTGGTGGTACGTAAGCCATTCTTTCTTCTAAAAGGTATTTTAGGGTTGTGTCTGTTCCACAATTTTTGAAATCGACGTTGATTTGATGAAAATTTTAGATTTTTCAAATTATGATTATGAAAAAAGAGAGATGAAGAAACAGTACATTCTACATAGGATAAGATTTAAACTATAAAGTATAGATTATCAAGTAAGAGAAGAAGAGTGAAAAGACAAGACAACCCTAGGAGGAAAATAAAAGAGAAGATAAAACTAATATTCAATAAACCATATGAGCACCATTCATAAACCAAAGAAGTCTGCTGTTTCAATTGAAAAGAAAATAGCTACTCAACAAAAGAAAGAACAATTGAAACAAGAAAATGAAATTAAAAAAGAAGAAGAAAACAAGGAAGAAGAAGAACTTGAATCTGCTAGTGATCCACGAGTTGTTAAACATTATGAAGAAGCAGCAGAAATTACTAATGCTGCAATGAAACTTGCTGAATCACTTTGTGTTGATGGTGCAGTTGTTTATGAAGTATGTAAGAAAGTTAATGAATTTATTGATGAAGAAGCAGCTAAAGTCTTTAAGAATGAATATTCATATGAGAAAGGAATTGCATTCCCATGTTGTATTTCATTAAACAATTGTTGTGGATATTTCTGTCCATTAGCTGAAGATAAAACTAGTATGAAAAAAGGAGATTTAGCTAAGATTGAATTAGCAACACATATTTCAGGATTTGTTGCTGAGGCATGTAAAACTATTGTAGTTGGAGAAGAAGCAACAGGAGATAAAGCAACTATTATTGAAGCAGGATATACTGCACTTCAAGAAGTTATTTCAAAACTTCAAGTAGGAGTTAATACATCAGATATTACAACAGTAGTTGATGGAGTTTGTAAGAAATATAATGTTAAAGCATTTGAAAACATTGTTTCCAGAAATATGGAAAGATATATGATTGATGGAAATAAATTTATTCTTAATGTTCCATCTAAATCTGCTGTTGAAGATATGAAAATTGAATTAAATGATGTTTGGAATTTAGATATCATTTTAACTACTGGAGCTGCTAAACCAGTAGAAAAAGAAACTAGAACAACAGTTTATAAGAGAAATATTGATGAAACATATATTCTTAAAATGAGAACATCTGTTCAAATTTTCAGAGAAGTTAATAACAAATATCCTACATTCCCATTCTCTCTTGGAATGCTTGAAAATGAATCTAAAGCTAAGATGGGTATTGTTGAAATGGCAAAACACGATTTAGTTGATTCATATACAGTTGTTTATGAAAAGACTGGATTAGTATCTCAATTTAAAGCAACAATTATTGTTACTGAAAATGGACCAAAAGTATTAACTCCAATTGAAGCTCCAGCTTTCATTAAGAAGAACTGAGTGTGATTTGTTATGAATTTTTTCTTTTTCTTTTTTTATTTAAATGCAAATTAAAATAAAAAATGATTTTATTAATTTTAATTATGTACTAAATTCAAATAAGCTGATAATCCATGAAGAGATGATGTAAAGGTAGTATTACTTTGAAGTTGAGGAGGTGGAAGAGGTTGTAATTCACCAGAACTGATTAAAGTAACTAATTCAGAATTTGAAGAAAATAAGTTGTGAGATAATAAAGAATTAACATAAAATGGAGCAATAATTTCATCCAGACTTTGTTTTAAATTTGATTTAAATATTGAATTTTCAAACTCAGTTAATAATTGTCTTTCCATAGAAGGATTTTCCCATCTTTCATCGTAATATTTAGTGAAGTTTTGTAAATATTGAGCTATTTGTCTAGGGGATTTAATTGTTTGTTTTTTATATGTTTGAGAATAAATGAGAGCGATAGTAGGAATTGCAATCATTAATAATAGAGTTGAAGAAATACCAAAGAAAGTAAATTTAGTTAATGAGGCTAAAGGAATAATAATTAAACAAAGACCAGAGACTAAAATTTTTAAAACTCTCATTATATGAAATAAAATTCCTTTTTGATTAATTCCAGTTAATTGTTGAGCCAAAGGAATTGCCTCAAAGAGTCTAGTAGAAGTTTCATGTGGTAATTCATTATATTTACGATATAATAACCAAGCGTATTTAGTGAAATGATATTTATTTAATAGAATTAAATTTTTACCTAAAAGATGAACATAAAAAGAATGATTTAAAAGAGAAGAAGTAAAGACAAACAAACTAGTAAATGAACTAAAGTATTTTAATAAAGTAAGATACCCATTATAACAAGCAAAAAGAATGTTTAAAGGAAATATATGAAGAAAACGTATTTCATTTGTTTTAGCTTGAATACTAAATAAGTGAGAGAAAGAAGAATGAAAGAAAAATGCAACAATAAGAAAATACATTAAGTTAAATATCAAACAAACTAATTTTTCCATATTTTTTGTAAATTACTATCATGTTGAACATTTCTACAAAAAGTTTCATCAAAGAAAGAAGGAAATAAAATTGATTGAGTAATTTTAATGAGATATTTTGATGGATAATGTTTAAAGAAAGAATATCTATTAAATAACAATGTTAATAAATTATAATTCCATGAAATTGATGAACGAATAATTAAATTAGATTGTGGATCAATTTTATTATTATACATTCGAACAAATGTTTTTCTATTTAATGATGAAGAAGGTGCTATTATTTTTGATATTCCATTCCAATTTCTATTAAAGTCTTGAAAATGATTTATATTATAAAATTCTTTTGCTTCAATAGTATTAGAAGAAAGTAATTTTTTAACAGTGAAATATAGTTGAATAATAATAAAAGGAGAGAAGAATACAACAATACACCAAATACACCAAATTCTAAAACTATCATTTAAAATAAAATAATCAAATAATTCATTTTCTTTTAATTTTGTATTAAACATTTTATTAAAGTCTAATAGTGTAAGAATAATACATACTGTCATTAATATAATTACTTCACTATTTATAAATGATTTATTATATTATATTTTTCTTCTTTAATATTTTTGAAAGAATATTTTGAAAGAACAAACAATAAATGCATTATTTTATCAAATACTAATCCTATATATCCTCCTTTTTTCCATATTAAATATAATTCTTTTAAAGACTCTTCTGATAACATTAATGTTTTTGAATACTTCTTGTTATATAAATTCATTTGAGATGAAATAGAATTATTTAGTTTTAAGTAGAATTTCCTTTTTTTTTAAATAAAATGATATTAAAATGAATTATTTATTTGATTAAAACAACTTCATATAATTTATTCCAAAGCTTCCCTGTCATCAATAATGTTTTTTTATTTGGGTCATAAACCAATCCATTAAATACATCTTCTCCTGGATTTTTATTTATATTACACCAAAATTCACTTATAACATTTCCTGTAATTAAGTCAATAACACAAATAACATCTTCATACCAAATATTAGCAAATATATATCCATTAATATATTCAATATCATTAATTCTATATAATGGTTTATTCCCTCGTTTTACTTTAATTAAATGTTGAATTGTAAATGTCTCTGGATTAACAATATATATTTGATCACTTCCATCACTAATCCCAAGTGATTGATTTATTCGAGTCATTCCCCATCCTTCTTTAATTTGAAACGGTAATCTATAATTCCTGACTTCTTTTAAATTAGAAATATTATATACTTTTACCCATCTATTTTTCCATGTTAATTGAAATAATTCATTATTTATAATAGCTATTCCTTCTCCAAAGAAACTATTAGGTAATTTAGTTTTACGTATTGTTTTACCTGTTATTTTATTTACAATTCTTATTGAAGATTTTCCATATAATCCTGTTGATTCAAATAATGTATTATTTAATATGGCTAATCCTTGTGTAAATGAATGTGGATTATGTGGATATGAATGAATAATATTCATTCCTTTAAATAATTCACTTTCATAATTCACAGTAATACATTGTTTTATTTCAACAGATAAAGTGAATTGAATAAAAAACATAATGTATAATAACTTTGGAATCATTAAGATATTATATTTTTTAGTTTGTTTTTTTATTATCTTTTTTACCTTCAAAATACTTATCAGAAATGCCAAAACAACATAAATCACTTTCTTCTTCCTCTCTTTCATTAAATGAAAAGGCGGCAAAATTTAAACCTATCAAAGACGAAATTAAAAATGAAAATATTCATCAAACTCCAAGTAAAGAAAATGCAATTGATCTTCCATTAACTAAAAGACTATTTGTTGGTGGAATAGATAAATCAATAACTGAACAACAAATTAAAGAACGTTTTATTAATTATGGAAAAGTACTTTCAATCCAAATTATTAATAAACCGTGGAAAGATTCATTATTTGCATACGTTGAATTAAAAGCAAAAAATGAATTATTATTGCATCAATGTCTTTCTACTTTAAATATGTTAACTTGGAAAGGATTAAAATTTAGAGTAGAATATGCTAATCCTAATATATTAGATAAATACAAACAAGAAAGAATTCAATTACATCTTGATAGAAAAATTAAAATTAAAGAAAGACAAGATGAAAAAGCAAGAAAAAGAAAACAACTTAAAGCTTGTAAGAAAATTATTGATAAAGGGTTTTACAAACATTAAATATCTCTGACTTAATTGATTATTTTTGATTTCTTTATTAAAATTCTAAGAAAGTGAATAAAAAACCATCTTTATTTCTTTAAACTGGAATGAAAAACATATTCTTGTTAGTTATCTAAATAATTTAATCACACTTACTCATTACTTTATATTGGTAAAAGGATATATTAATTATTGTGATGGATATCGCTAATATAAATAAACATCAATATAACTTACTTAACATATTTTAATAACAAAAAATAATTCCCTCTTATTTTCATTGCTCTTTAAATACAAAAAGTCATAAGAAAATAGATAAAATCATTTCAAAGTAGTAACAATTCATTTATTCTTTGAACTAAATTGCCTAATAAATAAAATATACATCTCAGTAAGAATAATCAATTTCTGTCTTAAATTAAATTAATTTATAATCTAAAGTAGAAATATAAAATAAAACTATAGTTTAAATTTCTTGAACTTTTTAGTCATTTAAAAAAAATAAAAAATAAAAAAACACAAAGTAATTAATTACTGTTATTAAAGAGAAATAAGTTTTATTGACTTTCTTGATAAATATTATTTGATAAATTTGTTCATTGTTTATTTGTTTCTTTATTCTTTAAAAACTTCTACCTCTCATTGTTTCATTGTTAAACATTCACATAATAAGGTTCAATTGTTTTAAAAAACATTGGTGAAGAATTATCATCTTCAATGTGAAAAGAAGAATAAAAAGATTTTATGTCAGTGAAAAATAAAGAAAAGGATTTAGGCTCTTCTTCTGTACTTGAAACAGAATTATCACAAATATCAGTTTCAAAAGATGATTCATTTTGTATTATAATTTCAGTCACAAAGGAGAATGTGACATAAATAAAGGTATTTGTCTCAATTACTCTTTCTTGTTGGATTTGATTACCATTTATAAAGAATTTTATACTTGTTTTATTGATTTTATTTTCAGGAAATTGAGATTGAATTTGGTTAATGATTGTTACTTTAATAACACTAAAACGATTATCTTCAATAAATAATGGCAAAAAGTCAGTCATTGAGTTTGTTTTATAAAATATGATGATTGGTGTCATGGTTTTGTGTTTGTTCATTTCTCAGTTTGTTTAAATATCTTGGTTTATTTTCATCACAAGATGAATGACAAACTTCATCAGTTGAAACGTCAATGAATATAATTTGATATATAAAACATTATTTTTCAATAAACCCTAAAAAAATAAAAGAAGAAAGAAAAGATAACAAAAAAACAGATAATGAGAATTGAGAAGTGTTACTTCTGTGGTGCAAATATTTATCCAGGACATGGGATGATGTTTGTAAGAAATGATGCAAAAGTATTTTGGTTTTGTAGATCGAAATGTCATAAAAGTTTCAAGATGAAGAGAAATCCACGTAAATTCAAATGGACAAAAGCATACCGAATGACAACAGGAAGAGAAATGACAGTAGATAAAACACTCGATTTTGAGATGAAAAGAAATAGACCTGTACGTTATAATAGAGAGCTTTATGCAAAAACAATTATTGCTATGAAACGTATTGAAGAAATTCGTCAACGAAGAAAGTTAAGTCATTACATTGACCGTATTAGAGAAGGAAAACAAAATGAAATGAAACAACGACTAGCTCTTATTGAACGACATAAAGATGTTTTACCATTATTAAAATTAAGAGCACGAAAAGCTACTATTCCTGCTTATACTCAAAATCTTAAACGTAAAGCATTATTGAATAAAACAAAAACAAGTAGTATATCTGAGAAAGAAGCTAATAAACACATGGATGAAGCTTAAGTAATAATGATACATTGATAAGAAGAGGTGTAACTGATTGATTTTCTTTTATTTATTATACGAAATTTTTAATTAATATAAGAGAAGTTTTAAAAAAAAACAAAGAAAAAACAACTAAGAAAGAATTACATAATTCTAACATGGAAAATAAACCACAAAAAGATATTTTTGAAGACATGAGACCAAAATTAAAACCTATTGAAAATAGTGATAGAAGAAAAAGATTATATGTTATTCAATTAAATAAAATGCTTGTTGAACATTTTAGAAAAGGAAATAATCTTAATGATTCAATTGGACTTAATCAATATGGTGAATTAGTAGAATTAAGTATAGAAGATGAACAAACAAAGAAAAAGTATGATTTATTTAAAACACAATGTAAAGACCCAATTTTTATTCTTAAACAAACAAATCAAGCATTTAAAAATTATGGAAAATCAGAAATGTATTTAAAACCAATAGTTAGAAGAAATGATATTATAATAAAACAACAAAAACCAAAATTAGTCATTAATGATGAAAGTTCAGAAGATGAAATTCCACATAAACCAATTAATATTTATAGAAAAAGAGAAGATACTATTGTTGATAAAAGAGTTAGAATGAATGAAACTGAATTAACAGATAGAATATTATCAATGTTTAAGATTAAACCAACATATACATTTAATATGTTAAACTTAGAATTAAAACAACCAGAACAATATTTAAAAGAACAACTTAAAAAGATTTGTGATTTAGTTCAATCACCAACATCAAGTATGAAAGAATATCAACTTAAGAAAGATTATCAATAATTAATTCATATTTAATTTTATTCTTTTATTTATTATTAATACAAATAAATTATTATTAAATGAATAAAAATCAATCAAATTAATAGATACTCTTTTTATCTCCAATCGTGTGTTCCAGCTGTTCTTTTTCCAGCTAATAACCATTTTGGACGTTCAATATCATGTTTTCTATCTGATTCACCAGTCCTACTTTGTCGATGTAAAGCATCAATTGCTTTTCTACGTAATCTTTCTGCTTTGTCTCTCATTTCTTGTCGTGGCATTGAATGTTCTTCTCCTTTTCTAATTAAGGAATTAGACCTACTTCGTTTTCTACTATTTGATCTACCTCTTTTATCATCAGTTTCTTCTTCTTCCATAAATGGAACATCTCTTCCTCTTTTAACACTTTTAGTTCTACTTCTTGATTTACTTTTAGCTAATTTTGATGTTTCATGTGCTGTTTCTGTATCTATACCTAAATCTTCTAAATGTTCTTTTAATTCATTTCTACTTCTTCCTCTAGTCATATTTTCAATTCTATTATTTTCATTTCCTTTCTTTGCTTTACTAACTGCTTTTAACACTCCTTGTGCTTCAACAATCTCTTCATATAATTTTTGATCTTCTTCACTTAATTTCATTGAATCATCAAATTCCATAGTAGCTGTAAGTAATTGTTCTTGTTCTTCTTTTTCTAATTCTTCTAATTTCTTTTCAATATCTGGATCAACATAATCTGCAATATTCATACCATCTACAATTTCTGGAATAACATCATATCTCCATTCATCATTATCCAAAATATATTTTTCTCTTTCTTTCATATATTCTGACCATGGAATTTCTCCTCGTTCATATGCTTCAAAGTCATGTTGATATTTAATTAATTCTTTTTGACATTGTGTCATTTCTGGTTCAATTTCATCAGTTTCCATTTCTTTTATGACTGGAGCTGCAACAGCAGGTCTTGCAATATCATCTCTTTTCTTTGGCATAGTGACTCTTAATTTATTTAACAATAATTCTCCTTTCTTTCCACTAAATCGATCTTGAGCTACTGTTTCTTTCAATAATCCACATGCTTTTGTTTTTAATTCTCCATAAAGTTCTGGTTTATAACATGAACATTCACAACATAATGTTGACATTCCTTTAATTTCTTCAATAATTTTTCTTTCTTCTTCTTCTAATTGATTGATTGGACAAATATCAATTTTATTTAATACAAGAACAACAGGTTTTTGACTAAATAATGGTCTCATTGTTTTAAATAATTGTGCTTGTTGTTGAATAGTATATCCACAACTTCCACTAACATCCATAAGATATAATACACAACATGGTAAATGTGCAAGTGCTGTTATGGATTGCATTTCAATAACATTTCTTTCTTCTAATGGATGGTCAAGAATACCTGGTGTATCAATTACTTGCCATTGTGTATAATTAAAATCAGTATGTCCAATAAATAATGATTTAGTAGTAAATGCGTATGGTTGAACATCAACATTTGCATTTGTAATAACATTCATTAATGATGATTTTCCAACATTTGGAAATCCTGCAAGAATTAATGATTTTGAAACTGGATCAATACTTGGAAGTCTTCCTAAATGTTGTCTTACTTGTTCTAAATATGCAAGTGATGCACTTTGTTGTTTAATAACAGATGTCATACGACCAAGAGCAGCACGTTTTAATTGTTTACATCGGTATAATGAATCTGCATATTTCAAATATTTACAATATTCGGTTCCAATTGAATCAATTAATTTCTTTGCAATAGAAAGTTGTGCTAATGCAAGTTTATAATGATCTCTATCATAGAGAACATTCAATAAATCTCCATAAAATGGATGAAGATCATCAAGTAATGGAAACTCATCTAATATTAATGCTAATTTATCATGATATGATTGTGAACAATATTTAACCTTTCTCATATAAAATGCACGAATTCGATGGATAGCATATTGTTTATGAACAACAGTTGGAGTATGTTTATTAGTCCCACTAAGTACTACATCTTGTAATTCATTTGATGTAGGAACAGGCGTAATTTTTTTAAATGTATACAATGGCATGGTACTGAATTTACTCTATTATCTTTTTTTTTGTTTTAAGGGTAAATCTTTTTTCTTTTTCTTTTTTAAACCCTGTTTCTCTATTTTTATCTCGTTTCATATTTCCTTTTTTTTTATTATTCTTTATAGTTTCTTCTTTTGACGTTTTCCTTTTAACTTGTCTATTCTAACCTTTCAGTACTGTCTTTATGGAATTAGTGTTACGTCACATGAATTGTTGTTATTTTCTAGCATTTTGACTCTTCGCTATTTTGTCAATTCTTTAATCTTATTAAATCTTTCTTTTTTTAAAACAAACATGAAGCCGTGCAACACATTTCGTCAAGTCATGATAAACATATTGTTTGATTGTTGATAAATCATTCACATTTCTCCCAGCATATAATGGAGATGATACTCCGCATTGTTTAAGTATTATCGTTGCATTTGGTGTTATTTCTTTATTAGTCTTATTTAATTCTCCTAACATGACTTGAATTGATTGAAGTTGTTTGTTTAATCCATGTATTTGGTTTTGAAGAAATGTAATTTTTTCATTTTCTATTGTTTGGTGTAGCACAATGATTTTTTTGAATAAGCCATTATTTTCATGTCATTTTTACATTTTTACGTTATTAGTTATTAAATTGTCATTTTTTATTAAGACTAAATTCAAATTATTTATAGAAGATATTCAGAATAGCATATTCCGTTCTGAAAAAGTCATCTTAAAAAAAAATAAGTCTTGTAGAAGAAATGATGAGGAAAACGTTTATAGATAAAAACCCAACAACAACATACAATCCCAATCTACAAACAAAACCAACAAATTATATTTTAGTTATTGTAATACATTCGGGAGTATTTAATCCGTTAGAAACAGGATTATATTGTGTTTGTAAGATTGATGACAAGAAGTACAGATCATTAACAAAAGTTGGAAATAAACCTGTTTTTAATGAACGGTGGATAGTTTCAGTTCCAGAAAAAACGAATATTTTACAGATTGAAGTATGTAAACATAATAAATTAAATCAAAAACATATTCTTGGAATTGTAAGAGTGTCATTAAAACGGTTAGGAATAAATGTAGAAACAACAGAAAAATACACTGTTTTTTCTTATTCTTCTGTTGAAGTTGGGAAATTAGTTATAACATTTAAGAGATTGTCGAGAGAAAATGAGAAGAAATTGATTATTGGGGAAGAGTCAAAAAGGTCAAGCGAAAGGTCAAGTGAAAAGTTTTCTCTTTTAACGTCATCAATTGAAGAACTTAATTTATGTTATAAACCACAAAATTACTTATCTTTGGGTCATGTTCATAGAAAAAAATTTATGCCACAACTTCCATCGGTAAAAGATAGAGAAACAGTTGAAGCATGTGGATTATTTTCAGCAGTGTTTACAGTTACAGTAGGGGATATTGCAGAAGACCTTCTTCATTTTATGAATAATGAACAAGCAACATTTAACGACATAGAACAAGTAGGATTAACAGGAGTTATTACAAATTGTTATCCACCAAATAATGGAGGTAAAATAGTTCCATTAAATATTTGGAATTTTTGTTTTGGAGATGGGTTAAGAGTAAGTAGAACAAACAAAAATATAAACGTTGTACCATTTGTTATGACAGATGCCATGGCTAATACCAAATATGCATGTTTCTTAATTGCTTATTTTAAAATTGAAAAAGAAATGATTAAAAAAATCCAAGAAATTATTCCAAAAACACCTGATGAGTTATATGCACCATATGCTGTTGGAGTAACAAGTGATTTTCCATTACATACATTTATGAGGAAATGGTTAAAGTCATTATATGAAATAAATGTAGAAAATGATATGAAATTTACAGATTATTGTCACCAAGTAATTTTTATGACTGGAAAACCATCATTTGGAAATTTATATTCATATGATTTTGGACAATTAGGATTTAAGATTGAAATTCAACTCCCTTGTTTAAATGGATTACCACCAATACCTACTAGTATTCTTCCATTATTTGAAATGATTGGAATTGATGGAGTACTTGCTGTATGGCTAGCATTATTAGAAGAAGAAAAAGTAATAATTACAAGTACATCAAAAACTGCATTAGTATATTCAATAGAAAATTTAAAATCATTATTATTTCCATTTGAATGGTGTAATATTTGTATTGATTCATTACCTTATTCGTTAATTGATTATGTAAGTTCTCCAATGACATATTTAATGGGAGTGCCATCAGAATATAAAGAAGATGTAGAAAAAATTATTAAAAATGAAGAAGTAGTGTATGTTGATTTAGACAGTGGAGTAGTAAAGTCAAAAGGAATAATAAGAGAAGTTCCAAAATTGATAAATACAGTATATCATGAACTTAAAGATGTTTTTAATAAAAGAGAATATTCAAATGGCAATATTAATTCAGATATATTTGATGAAAAATATTATTTACATAAAAGTGAAGAATTTAATTGTGCAGTTAGAATTATATTATTTAAATTTATTAATGTTATGTTAAATGAATATAGAGATTATATTGGATATACTTGGATTGCAGATAAAGAGTCTGTAGTTTTTTCTTCAGAAGAATTTATTTATAATCAACCATCAGACAGAAGAGACTTCTTGAAAGCATTATTTGAATCTCAACACTTTTCATTCTTCCTTCAAAATTTCCCAAAAAGACATGACCATATATTTGAAGACTGGCAAATAAATAATATTTATTTGATTAATACTAATGAACTGATTCAAATGTATTCAAAAGAATATCATCCTATTACTTCAATTATTCAAACATCAACAGAAAAGAGTCTTGAAGTATCTCCAATTAATACATTAGTATTGGACTGTGGTAAACTTAAATCATTAAGAGTAAGAAATACTGTGGTTAATTCACAATTAGAACCAAAAATGTATCATAATCATTTAGAAGGATTTAAAAAACAAAGAGTAAGAGAAGTTTTTAATAATGATATAATACAATTTAGTGATATTCAAATTGGAATATTAGTAATGATGAATGAAGGAACAACAAAGAGTCTTGACACAGATTTGTTATTTAATTTTTTATCACAAGTTGAAGGAAGAAAAATATTTACACAACGACTAATGAGTAAATACACATCGTTTTGTATTAACAAAATGGAAGGTAGAATAAATAATATAGTTTATGCTGTAATTGGTGATATTCTTCGACAGGAAGCAACATATGCATATTCTCAAAAAGACTATATGACACCACAACATATTATTGAATCATCGAAACTATACTTTAAGATTGAAGGGAAAAAAAGAATTACCTTACTTCCATTATTAAGTGAACTAGATATTTGGAACCAAATGGATGTATGGAATAACATGTTTACAAAACTCTGTTGTATAGACAAAGAACTTATATATAAAGAGGTGTATGGGTTAGATCTTCCATCAAGATGGAATTTATTTAATAAAGAACAACAAGATAGGTTTAGAGATGAAGAGACACAAAGAATCAAAATTAGTATGAAATCATTATTAGAGACTATGCACATTGTTCAAGTAAGTGATAGAACTATCAAGAAATTTGTTGGATATTCTTTAAGTCAATTTAGATTCGATGAAAAAATAAGAAAAGAAATAGAGGAAATTGCACTTTCTAGCTGTAATATTATAACAGAGAGTATTGAAAGTAATAAAGAAAGAGCTTTGTCTAAAATGAGAGAATTGTATAATGCCGTTTATCTTACTGAAGAATAAGAATTGTTTTATTTAGCAAATAGTTTATTTTTAATACGAATAGTTTTATTATCAATTCGGTTTAGTTTGACTTATACCTCATTTAGAAAAAAAAATAATTTAAAAATAAAAATGAAATACTTTGTTGATTTTTACGGAAAAAGGAAAAGTCAGAAGATTTTTCAACTTAGAAAATTAATTCAAAAAAGGAAAGATTCAAATCCAAAATAAATAAATAATAAATTATAATGAAATAATAAATTTAAAGCATTAAGTAAAAATACTATGAAAAAAAAAAGAGAAATATAAATTTAAACAAAGAGAAAGGGGAGAAGAAAAAAAAAAGGGAGGAGTGGTGAAACGAAAAAGAAATAATCTCAAAAAGATTTTAATTTGATAAATGAGAATTAAAACGTGTCTTAAGTCAATTATCCAACTGATTTTATTTATCAATTTTGTTAATAGAATCAATGGGTTTGACATTTGTTATATTAAAAGTAATAATACATTACTTGGATATGGAACAACAACAAAACCAAATATATGTGAATTAAAAACACCACCACAAATAATAATAGATTCAGGAATACCACCTACATATACATTTCGAAGTGGAACATCAGCAGGAATTAATAACGATACAATAAATATTAGACAACAACTTGTAAATAATGATTGGGAAAAAACAACACAAATAATATTTGAAAAAGGTCATGGATTAAAATCAATTTCATTAGGAGAAACAGCAATTAAATGTTCATGGAGTATTTCTAATGAAAATATTGTATCAGATTTTGTATATTTCTTTGCATATAAAAATGAAGCGTGGGGGTTTACTAAAATTAGTGCAAAAACTAGTTTTCCTTTATATATTTATACTCAATCATATGAACTATTTGAATTAACAAGAACAAATTCAGAACCTTTTGTATTTTTTAATGGTATTAATACTACTCATAATACACTTGAAACAACAAGCAAGCCATATATTAATACAATTAGGAAATCATTTACTAAAGATTGTATTTATCAATTTTCATCTTATTATATTGGAGGTGCTGGAGTAAATGATGGAAATTATAAAATGATTTCAATTTGTGAAAGAAATTCAATTCAAAGATATGTTCAATGTTATTGGTCAAAAGGTTCTTATAATGATTGTTCTTGTAAACCAGTTTCTAAAGAACCAAAAATTAAAACAAGTGGTAATTTAAAATATCCAGACTGTCATTATTTATCTTATTTATATGATTTTTCTCTTAATATTGAAAATATTTATGTAGAATTTGATACAGTTAATACAACTACTTGGTCAGATTTTCTTATTCCACAAAGAATGGAATCATTAACTTTAGTTATAACAGCTAATGGAGTTGATTTTTTAACAATTAATTCAGACTTTTCTTTACCATCATTTTCATTTAAAGTGTATGGTGGTTTAAATATTACTGGTGAATTAATATTTGAAACTGCAGCTAATTATTATTTTAAAAACTTAACATTTGAAAAAGTAATGGTTGATGAATATATTGATGATAATACTATTTTATTTGCTTCTACTGTTAATGAAATTGATGCAAAAAAACTTGAATCTATTGAAACATTAAATAAGAAAATTGTTCAAGTTTTACCAACTTGTGGAACAGTAGATACAATAAGAAGATTTGTTAAAAGTCCAGGGGATAAAGATAGTGACTCTTATTTAGGTTGTAAATGTACTGTTGAAACAGAAACAATTTTTGAACAATTTGATTGTGAAGAGGTTTCAAAAGAACCAACAAGTCAATTAGATCTTATTATTAGTAAAAGCATTTATGATGGAAATAATTTTATTAGGTATTGGAATAATATTAAATTTACTGGAAATGGTTACAGAACTCTTAAAGGATTAAGACATAATGCTAAAATATGTACTTTTATTGCTGATAGAAGGTATACAATCGATACTGAATTATATTGTGATGAAGTTAATATTGAACAAGGAGTTACTATTGAAGTTAAAGGAAATTTATATATAAAAACACTTAATATTTTAGAAGATTATTCTAATCTTAACCAAAAACCAATTTTTATTTCTTCTCCATTAATTTTAACAAATCTTTCTTCTATTACATTTGCTCATCCTTTACAATCTTGTGTTGAATTAGTTGCTTCTTCTCTTATTTATGATTCAAATGTAAAAAACTTTAGTGATTATTCATTAGTTGGATTGGAACATTTGTTAAGAGTTTGTCCTAAAGGCTCAATTAATACAGCTGTCGAATGTGAAATGGATGGAATTAATTATCCAACAAATTTTATATATTCATATTGTCCTTGTAGTGGTTCAGCATGTTCTATTAAAATACCAAACACTATTTCAAGAGTAACTGCTTCTAGTGTATCAAGTATTGAAGGAAAATTAATTATCAATGGGGATCTTTCATTAAGTAATTTTAACCTAATTTCTACATTAGAAATTACAAGTCAATCTACTGTAATTATTGAAGGCACAACTGAACTTCAAATAAATAGTATTAATCCATCATCTGAATCTATTCCAATTTTAATCCTTCAATCACCTACAATTATCAATGGAGCGTTAAATAAATTTAGTATTATACCTTCAAGTGTTACTACCTTCAATTATAATAATGTTCAATTAGAAAAAGTCACTGAAACCACTTCAGGGTCTTTAGTCCTTAAACCAACTGTTACAAGTCTTTCTATTGAAAAAATAGAAACTGTTTCTTCTTTAAACACAATCCCTTTATTTATTTTAGAAAGTTCAGAAATACCAATTTCTATTAGTGGTAATCTTTCATCAGTTTCAAATAAAATTATTTTATTAACTAAAAGTAGAAAAGTCTCAGATCCTGTTAAAGTTTCTTGTGATGGACAAGCTGTTTTACCAACTGGTTTTAAAGACTGTAATAAAATTGGACTTTCATCACATTCATGTTATTTTAATTCTAACAAATATGTTTTATCTTCATCAAATCTTAATATTGATTATTCTTGTCCTTGTAAGAGAAGTAATGACATTTCTTGTACTATAACTATTGATCCATCATCAACAAGTATTTCCGTTATAAACAATGTTACAGAATTTACTGTAGAATCATCTATTACATTTGAATCAAAATCACATACATTTACTATTAGATCAAGTTCAGCTGATTCAATTATTACTATTAATGGAGATTCAAATTTTATTCAAGTAGATGCAATTCCCGGATTTACTTTAAAATCTACATCTCAAAATAATGTTTTATCATCAATTTCACAATATACATTTAGTAGTGTTACAACTGCAAAGAGCAATGTATTTAGTCTTAAAAAAGTTACAAATAATGGGGTTATTGTTGTTTCATCACTAAATAATTATTGTACAGTTGGACAATTAAATGATAATATATTCTCATGTTTAATTTGTGGAGATATTACTGCTAATTCAAATGGAATATGTGATGAAAGAAACCCAATTGAACGTTGTAGTTATTTAGTAAATGGGTATTGTAAAGAATGTGAAGAAGGATATTATGTTGAAGGAGAAAGATTAGGTAGTCAAAGTTGTCAAGCATTACAACCAGGATGTTTAAGAGGAAATTCTAAAGAATGTTTTAAATGTGTTAATAATAAAAAAATTGAAGGAACAAGTTGTGTTGATGTTAGTGATTGTTCTTTTTATTTAAATGAATTATGTATTCTTTGTGAAGAAGGAAAACGAAGTAGTAATGGACAGACATGTGATACAAAATGTGATGAATCATGTAAGTCTTGTCACAGTATGAAGGATAATGAGGTATGTAATATTTGTAATTTTGAACTTAAATATAGTAAAGCATTTGATGACAATAAATGTACTACTGGAGAAGGAGTTGATATAGTTTCTCCTACATATCAAATATCATGTTCCAAAGGATATAGTTTTGATAGTTTAAATTCTAATAAATGTAATAAATGTATAACTGGATGTTCAATTTGTGAAGGAGGAAAATGTCTTCAATGTGAAAAAAAAGAAGATATTTTATTTAATGGAGGGTGTAGAAGTCAAGAATTATCTAAATGTAAAACTATAAATGATAATAAATGTATTGAATGTAATGAACAAGAATATTATGACATTACAACAGGAACATGTACAAAATATGATTCAACATGTAAAAGTGTAGATTATAATGGATTATGTACAAGTTGTACAAACAAAGAATCTTATGTAGAATTACCTGAAAGAAAAAAATGTGTATCAAAACAACAAGATATAAAATGTTTATCAAGTTTATATGGTATTTGTTATAGATGTATTCAAAAATATTATCCAAATGGAGTAAAATGTGAACAATGTTTAGAACATTGTAAGTTATGTTCTAATGAAAAACAATGTGATGTTTGTGAAGATGGATATCAATTAATAAATTCAACATGTGTTTCATTAACAACAGAACATTGTGAACATTATGGAACATTATCATGTATTAAATGTGAAAGTGGATATTATCTTGATACATTAAAATGTACAAAATGTGATTCTAAATGTAAAGAATGTACATCAAATAATATTTGTTCATTATGCAATGAAGGATATTATTTAAATAATTCAAAATGTATTTCATTAGAAGAAGCTAATAAAAAGCATTGTATAAAGATAAGTAAAACAGGATGTATTAAATGTGAAATTGGATATTATAATAAAGATGGAGAATGTTTAAGTTGTAATTCAATTAAACCTAATTGTGCAGTATGTAATATTACTTCAAATAAATGTATTAAATGTCCAGAAGAATATATAATGAAAGAAGAAGGATGTGTACATTATTCAACAATACCACATTGTAAACAAGCCATAGATGGATATTGTGATAAATGTGATAACTGGTACGCATTAAGTTATACAAGAATTTCATGTGAAAGATATGCAGAAGGAGGAAAAATAGCAGCAATAATTATAAGTATAATAATATTAGTAAGTATAATTATTCTTATTGGAATTGTAATTTATTTATTATATAAGAGATATCAAAGGCACCTTGAAATAACAAGAGCAACTGGAATATTTCCATTAAAACATTGTAATATTGAATTACAAACATATCCAATATTACCAACAATTGTTTGTGAAACAACAATAATTGAATTTAATGACAAAATGGAATTAAATAAAGAATATTCAAAAGGATTTTATATTGGAAATAAAGGAGAAACAACAGTAGAAATTCAATTTACAATAAAAGAAGACCAAAGATATAGAATAGAATTTAGTCCAAATAATCTTGTGATTAAATCAAAAATGTGTTGTTTAATAAATGTATTAATTATGCCATATTGTTCATTTAATATTCAACAAGAATTTAAATGTATTATAAAAGAAAATAATAATAAAAAAGGAGAATTAGATTTTAAATTTAAAGCAAATACAATAGAAACATATAACATTGATCCAGAATTAATTCAATATCAAAATGTATTAAGAGCAAATTATGAAATAACAATAAGTAAGGCAATATATAATAATATACCAGTAATTGTTAGAAATATTGGATGTTTTGAATTAGGAATTGAAGAAAAAAAAATATATGAAGAACCATTAAATATTTTAGAAACATTTCCATCAAGTAATTATTTAACTAAATATATTGGTAAAGTCTTATTAAAAAATACACATCTTATTATTACTGAATTTGCTCCTTTAGGAACTTTACAAGATATTATTAATTCTAAAAAGAATTCTATTAATTCTGTATTAAAACAAAGAATTGTTTTAGACGCCTCAAAAGGAATTGCTATTCTTCATGCTAAAAATTATTTACATTATAATATTAAACCTTCAAATATTTTATTAATTAGTACTAATATTAACGATCAATCTCTTGTTAAAATTACTGATTTTGGTTATCATTATAATTATAAAAAATTCTTTAATCATCGTATTGAAGTATCTGAAAGACCGACTTATATTGCTCCTGAAATTTTTACTGGTCAAAAATTTACAAATAAAACTGATGTTTATGCTTTTGCTTTAACTATGTTTGCTATTCTTACTTTAAATGAACCTTACCCTCTTAATGAATATCCTTATCCTTGGTCTATCTCAAAATTCGTTTGTGTTGGTAGAAGACTTCCTCAACCTTCAGATATGTCTAAACAAATGTATGATATTATTTCTAATTCTTGGGAACATTGTTCAGCTGATAGATTTACTATAGACGAAATAGTTCATGAACTTAAAAAATTATCAGTGAACTAATTTAATTTTCATTTTTTATTTTTTAAATTTATAGTTTTTTTTAAAATGAAAATTATATTTTTTATATTAATTGTTTTGAAAATATCTTTTATTATATAAATAAAAATCATTTTATCTCTTTTTATCTTCTTCTTTAAAAATATTATTGATAATGAAAATCAAATTATAATTTTTTTGCAAATATATTACAAAATTAAGTTGTATTAAAAATAAATTCATTATAAACTCTATAAATCTTTAATGAATAATTGTATAAGACAGTATCATTCACTAATTAAAAAATACTATTTTTCATAATAAAATAGTATTGCTTAAAAAATTGATGTAATGAATTAAACAACTTTTTAAATAAAAAAAAGTCAAAAGAAAATTAGAAGTTTATGTTTTAAATTGAAATAAAACAACAGACATATAAATAAAATTATAAATAGTTTTGATAATGAAAACAAATACAATGTTTATCTCTTTAACTAAATTATAATTGAAAATAATAATTTATTTCATTATTAGAAAAAAGAGAAAGAATGAATTTATAATAGTTAAAATACAAATATTAATTACATTAATAATTCAATGTAAATGAAAAAAAAAAATTAATTCAAATGAAAAGAATAACATTAATAAATAAATTGATTTTAATATGATCATCATTACATTATTTAATTGATTATAAAACATAATTAAAAATTAAATAAAAGAAATTAAATTAAAAACACAACAATGAATAACAAACTAAAAAGATAAATTATTTTATAATTAAAATTTTTTTGTTTTTGGATAAAAAAAAGCACAAAAAAGAAAAGATACTAATGAACTAGAAAAGAAAGAATGAAAAAGGAAAAACAAAAGAAAAGAAAAGAAAAAAAGTTGAAGGAGGTGAACTTTTAAAAAGAAAGAACTTAAAAATTAACCAAAATGACCACAATTGCCAAACAAGATAAGATTTTCATGAAAAGATCTGGAGCTTATCACTCTGAACTTGACAAAGACATTGTTCAAAAAGCAGGTAATTTCCCATTAATGCAATTTAAAACTAAAGTTAAAGTTAATCCTAAATTTTTATTAAAAGGAGATGATATGGATATTGTTGATGAAGCAATAACTTATTATAAAGCAAATGTTTTCTATAAGAATTTTGATATGTCAATTTGTGAAGCAGATAAACTATTAGTTTATTTGATATTTTATATTCAATCACTATTATTAAAGGTTTGTTAACTTTATAATTTCATTAAAAGAAATGTCAATAATTATTTAATAGTTTAATGGACGTACTAAAGTCGAATGTGATAAAATGGCATATTCTTTGGCTATTGAAAATTTTGCACTTCCAGGTGATGGAAAATTCTGTCTTGGAGGTATTGTTGAACCATTAAAAGCATCAGAGAAAGAAGTTGTTAGACAATATATGACAGCCATTAGAAATGAAACTGGATTAAGATTAACTCAAGCTGTTTTTAAGAATGACCCAACTAAATGTGATAAATGGTGGATGTGTTTCAATAAGAGAAAGTTCTTAAACAAAACCATTTAAATCGAAGATAAACAAAAGTAATTCAAAAATACTTCTTTTCAATTTATTTTTTATCTAAAAAATTTTTATTTAAAAAATAAAAAAAATAAAAAACCCTAAAATAAAAAAACTTAAAAATAAAAAATAAAAAAAAAAGAAAATGAGTCATTGTGTTGCATTATTGTCTGGTGGAAAAGACAGTGTTTATACTATCGTTTATTTACAAAAACATGGAATTTCTATTGACTGTTTACTTCATTTAGAACCATCAAAACCAAAAGAAAGTGAAAATAATAGTTATATGTTTCAAACAGCTCTTCATGAAGCAATTCCTTATTTAGCAGAAGCAATGAATATTCCATTAATAAATTATCAATTTGAATCAAATTCATCAATTTGTATTGATTCTAATTATGTTCCAACTCAAAACGATGAAATTGAAAATTTATATCTTGGTGTTAAAGAAGTTTTAAATAAATTTCCACAAATTGACTCTATTTGTTGTGGAGCTATTGCTTCTACTTATCAATCAAATCGTTTAAAAAATGTGTTTGTTATTAATTTTATGTTAGTTTTTATTCTTCTTTTATTTATTATGTAATTAGTGCAAATCGTTGTGGTTTAAAAGTACTCGTTCCTTTATGGCAAAAAGACCAAAAAGAAGTTCTTAATGAAATCATTGAAAGTAATTTAGATGTTCGTTTAGTTAAAGTGTGTTCAATGGGACTTAACCAAAACGATATTGGAAAGTCACTCGCTCAAATGAAAGAAAAATTACTTCGATTAAATAAACTTTGTGGTGCAAGTGTTGTTGGAGAAGGTGGTGAATTTGAATCTTTTGTTTTTGATGGACCTTCTTTTAAGAAAAGACTTGAAGTTGATTTTGATGTTATTACAGAGTTAGAAGATGATTATGCACCAATTTGTTATATGAATATCAAGTCGATTCATTGTATTGATAAGAATTAGTTTCTTACATAAATAACACAATTTTTATTATTTTGTTATTAAAAGAATTTATTTTTAGATATTCAAAATTAAAAAAAAAAGAAGTTAAACCTCAAAAAAAAAAATAAGAGAAATAAAAAGAAAAAGAACTAAGAAATTAGAAAAAAGAGAAAATGTTTGATGATGATGATATAATGTTTGATGATGAAGGGGAAGTCATTGATGATGAAGAGATTGGAATTGAAAATAAATTTTATGATGCAAAAAATGAAATGGAAACAAATTTAGAAGGGGCTATTGAAAGTTTCAAAGAAATTGTTCAAGAAGATAGTGAAAAGAAAACTGAGTGGTTTGTTCATAACAAAAATACACTAAAAATGAAAAAGGAATAAAGAAAATTAAAAAAAATAGGGGATATAAGTCATTGAGAAAATTATGTAGATATTATGGTAAAGCAAATAATGAAGAAGAATTTAAAACATACTTTGTTCAATTTTTAGAATATTTAAATATTCCAGCAGTTTCTAAAGCTGAGAAAGGGTTATTCCTTATTTTAGGAAATATAAATGGAATGAGAAATGAAGTAGTTATTGAAGTAGTTAATAAAGCTATTGAAATTTGTGAAAAGAATTCAAATTTCAGTAGAATTATATTTAAATTAAATATTAAGAAAGCTAACACTATGTTTGAATCAGGTAAATATGAAGAATTAAAACCATTTTTAAGTGAGTTAGTTAATTCATGTTATTTACCAAATGGGAAAGAAGATCCAATGAGAAGTCATTTATTAATTGAATTATATGGACTAGAAATTCAATTATATTCTAAATTAAATGATATGAGAAAATTACAACAGTTATGTGGTAAAATTAATTTTAGTGATAGAAACATTAGTCATCCTAAAGTTCTTGGTATTATTATGGAATGTTGTGGTAAAGTTAAATTATGTAATTCAGATTTTGCTGGAGCTAAAAATGATTTCTTTGATTCATTCAAAAGTTTAGATGAAGCAGGTCTTCCAGAAAGATTTGATGCATTAAGATTTACTATTTTAGCACACTTATTATCTTCATCAAAAATTGATATTTTCCAAGCCCAAGAAGTTAAGTCTTATCAAAGATCTCCTGAAATGGAATTAGTATATCAATTATATTGTGCTTTTAATGAAAATAATATTATTCACTTCAAAGAAGCATTAAACAAAAGTGGAAGTCAATTCAAAGATCATCCATATATTCAACAATACATTCCATTATTAATCGAAACTGCTCAAAAAAATTTAATACTAAAATTAGTTAAATGTTTTAAACGAATCAATTTTTCATTCTTAGCTCAAGAATTGGATATGAAAGAAGAAAAAGTCGAATTACTTGTATTACGTATGATCTTCGATAATACTTTAAAAGCTAAAATTAATCAGTTTGACCGTTATTTAATTATGACTGAAGAACAGTCTTCTGTCACTAGAAAATATATTGCTATTACTTCTATGAGTAAAACTTTAGCTGCTTCTATCTCCGTTTAATTCACTTCTTTTTTTAATGACTGACTTTTTTTAACTAAGACGTCAATTATAATATTTTGGGTCGTACCTTTTGATGTAACTATCTCTTCCAAAATGATGTCCTAAATTAAGTCTTCTACTTGGCATATCAGATGCATCAACCCAAAGACATTGAACAATATCACCACACCTAATCCATTTATCAAATTTTGCAAGTTTTCTGAATCGGAAATATTCTTTTCTATTCTGTAATTTCCCATAATATCCCCAAATACATCCTTTAGCATTATCAGACTCTGGTGATGGAACATTTGGTATTAAATGAGTTTCTACATGATCTCCAGTTAAATTATAACTATCAAATAACTTTTTTAATCTAAAAAATGCATTTTTATAAAATGCTTGGTCATCTTCAAGGAATAACACATAATCAAATAATGGGTATTGCTTTACTGCCATATCAGCTGTTTTATAAAAATAATAATTGATTCTATTGAATTTTTTATGTCCAAATGGAACATAATCTGATGCTCCTCTTAATGGAAATATAGACTCATATATATCCATAAGGTGTGAATAAAATTGTTCATTGTCATAATCTTCTGATGTAATATTTGTTAAAATAGTATTGATACCAGCCTCTCTAAAGATTTTAGCTGCTTCTAATATGTCAGGGTTTTTACATCCATTGCATCCATTTGAAAGAAATATTGCATCAATCACAATACCTGGATGCCCATATTTATAAGCATTAACTATATAATCAGCTGTATAAACAATCATCGGTAATCTTTTTGGCGCTGTTAGCATTGGAATAACAATATGATATTCAGCAAGTGAAAAGGTAATAAATGTGATTATTAAAAGACTTTTCATCACTTCTTTTTAAGTTTTTATTTGAATTATTTATTTTAAGATTCGAAGATGGCACGTCAGAGACACCACATGAAACCCTAAAATAATCCCATGCTTCGAATCTCCCAGTTATCGTCTGGTCATGACGTGCCTTTGGTGAGATAATATCTATTCAACACTAACTGTTTATTATTATTAATATTTATTAGAAGTGATTATTATAAAAGATTATTATTCATTAACGTGTATTGTTATTCATTAACGTGTATTGTTATTCATTGAGGTGTATTGTTCTTCATTAACGTGTATTGTTATTCATTAACGTGTATTGTTATTCATTATTAATTATAAGGATTATTATTTACTAAGGAGGTATTATGTATTAAGAATTATCATTTATTAAAGAAGACGCATATATAATTGATACTGTTGCACAAAAATTAAACATAAGGATATTATCAAGGAATAGGGTTTCTTTAAGGGGTGTCGAAGGTAAAAGGAGATGAGCTATAACAGTAAGTTATGGATATACTCTCCTTAAAACAACAATATAAAGAATGAGAAATATTATATTACTCATTAAAATCAAAATAAAAGTCAGGCAGCAACTTAAATGAGGAACCATTTAAGTCGAGCATGCTTGCAAAAACTTTATTTCAATAGAAATAAAGCGTGTTGAAGAAACTGATTTTCTCACTTCTCAACATGATGAAAAACCTAAAAAATAAGGTTAATCATAATTGATTCCTTTTTTTTTTTTTTTTTTTTTTATTTGAATTATTTATTTTATAATTGAAGATTTTTTTCCAATTTCGAATTTTCAACAAATTTTAATGCAATGATTTTTGGATAAAACATTTGTGTATTGTAAAGAAAAGCAAACAAGACATAGAAAACCAAGGTTATACAATAAAAAAAAGAAATGTCAATAGCAATAAATGAAACAATAATAAAAGTAAATGAAATATCAATGAAAATGGTTTAGAAGAAGAAAGACACAAAGAAAAGCAAATAAAAAACAGTGTAAATACAATAATAATAAAAATTATACAAATAACAAATATAAATGAATAACAATAAATGATATACACGAAAGAATAAAAAAAATAAAAAGTGAATGAAATAAATGAGAGTATGAAGAAATACTCAAAAAATATGAAGATAAAAGGAAAAGATGGTATGATATCCTTCAAGAAGTATATTCAATCAAAAAGAAAAAGATAATTGAAAAAACGAAAGAAGAGTTTAAAGAAAAAACAGACATTGAAGAAAATATATTAAAACAAATGAAGAAGAAATTAAAAACAAAAACACAAATAAAGAAATGAACGATAGATGTAAAATTACAAGAATAATAAATAACAAACAAAGTACAAAGAAAATATAAGAGGAAATACAACAAAACAAAGAAATAGAAATTTTAAATGAAGTATTGTATTGTTTTGCAATTAATTGGTTGAATAAGAAATTATATAAGAAAATAAGAAATGAACAAATAGAAAGTATAATAAAAGCAATAAACATCAATGTCAATAATGAAAATGAATATATTAAATATATTAAAATGTCACATAAAATAAAAGAAAGTACTAAACAATACATTAAAGTGAAAGTAAATGATATAATAGAAGAGTAGAGTGTAATTCAATAATAAAAAACATCATATTAAAGAATAACTCTACAGAAATTGATGAAGAATACCTTAACACTCTCATCAATAAAATAAAAGAAATGAAAGTAGAAAAATGTTCAAACATTAATTACTACTGGAAAAGAAAAGAAACTGACTAATTAATAATGGAAATTAATAATAGATGGTATTTTCATGAAGCAGAATGCAGGATCTGCAAGATGATATGAAGAGGATTTCAATGATTATGAACCTCTATCTCCAAAATAAAATAATAGGAGATAAATTTGATGAATTAAAAGAAATCCTAAAGAAAATAAATAGACTAGAAGATTTGGTCAAGGGAAGAAAATTGTACAGAATAAAGTGCATCATGAAATTAAAAGAATATGATGAAGAAGGAATAAAAGTCAAAGCACTAGAAAGAATAAAGTACCTAAAATATATGAAGACAATGATAAAAGAAAGAATTAAATTTAATAAGGAAGAAAGGGTCAGAATCAATACAAATAAAATCATGTTTGATTCTAATAAGAAAATTAGAATAAGGAAGAAACAACAAATGAAATATACCCAAATAACGATATTACTTTAGAATAATGGAAATGTTATATGAAACACAGGTGATATTAAATAAAGAGAAATGGAAAATAAAACAAAACACGATATTGAATGAAAGATATAGAAATTATGATAGTGTCATTATAACAATAAATGAATTAAATTCAAGTATAATGGAAATAAGTAACTGG